AGTTGGCCAGGATTCCTGAATCAAGATCAGACTTCTTAAGTAAAGGTTTAATTACAGCAACCTTAAAGCTCAGTGGTACGTAACTGTTTATTAGAGACAAATTAAGCAGATCCAAGATGTGATTATTAATTGGTGCAGCACAATGGCTCAATGGTTAGCACTATTGCCTCACAGCAACAAGGTCCTGGGTTCAATCCTTGGTTGAACCTCGAGTCTTTCTGTGTAGAGTTTGCATGTTCTTCTCGTGCTTGTGTGGGTTTTCTTCAGGTACTCCGGTTTACTTCCACAGACCAAAAACATGCATGTTAGGCTGCCTCCAGGCCTCCCTTGCAAAAGAGATCTGTGATTTCAATGGGATTTCCCTGGTTAAATAAAGGTTAATAATAATAATAATAATTAAGGGAAATACGTCTTTAAACAGTCTAGTTGAGATAGGATCCAGTAGACATGTGGATGGTTTGGATGAAGATATTATTTTTTTGATAATTCAGAGAGCCCAACAGGACAAAAACAGTCCAAACATAAATCATATTCTAGTGACATTTTTAAAGTTGTCTCATCTGACACAGAACCAGAGGCGATAGTAGGACTGTTGGTTTGAAATTTTCTCTCTAATTGAAATAATTTTTTTATAAAGAATCTCATGAAGTCATCCCTGCTTAGGGATACATGGTTCAACAGAGAGAGGATTTCTCATTAGACTAGTTATGGTACTGAAAAGGAACCTGGGGTTATTTTAAGTCTCATCAATTAAAGATGAATAATATAAAGTTCTAGCTTTACTGTGCACTTTTTTGTACGTTAGCAGGCTGTCTCTCCAGGATAAGTAAAAATCCTCAACGTTAGTGTAGCGCCATTTTCTTTCCATCTTTCTAGATGTCTGTTTTAAAGTACGTAACTCAGAATTGAACTAAAGAGCTAATCTCCTCTGACTGATTACTTTCTTTTTCAGAGGAGCGGCTTTATCAAGTGAAGTTTGCAAAGTAGTTGTAAAATTATCAACTAGATAAATCTCTAAGTGACTTTAAAACTCTTAAGTTCCTGGCAAAAACCAACGCAGACATGTTCCTGTTTTTAGTTTTCTAAATCGCCTTATAACCTATATGTTTTTTGCTACGATTCCTCTTGATTGTCCTTTTGGTTGCTATTTTGTTTTGATTGTTTTGATATGTAAAAAAAAAAAAGAGAAACTTAAATTTGTATTCCTCTGTTTCCTTTGTGACTGTCTATTATTGTCATTATTCATTGTTGTCATCACTCTTTGTTAAAATGAGGTCTCTCCTGTAAATGAGTCCCCGAGGCTAAATGGAATTAACCTGTAGAAATAAAGTTGAATGAAAAAAATGAAGTCTCTGTTCTCTGATGCATTACTCTGCAAGACAGAGGAAACATTGATGGAAGAGATCGTTTAAATTTGGTTACAGCATTTTCTGATAAGCACCTACTGAGATGAAATTTACTCTCAGTGACTGTGTAGTCATTTAATGTAAACTCAAAGTTATTAAAAAATGGTCGGACAGAACAGGATTTTGAGGAACTATTACCAAGTCCTTAATCTCTACACCATAGGTCAGAACTAAATCAAGAGTGTGATGATAAGAATGAGTAGATGTGCGGACGTTTTGGGTAAAATCAAATGAGTCTATTAAATTATTAAAGGCTATGCTTAAACTATCACTCTCAACATCCACATGAATATTGAAATCACCCATTATGATGATTTTATCAGTATTTAATAATAAGTCAGTTAATAATTCTGAGAATTCAGACAAAAACTGAGAGTAAGCTCCTGGTGGACGATATATAACAACTAGTAAAAGTGGCTTTTCTGATTTCCATTTTGGATGAGAAAGACTGAGGGACAGCGATTCAAAAGAATCATAACTAATAACTGGTTTGGCATTAATCAATAATCCTGACTGAAAAATAGAAGCTACTCCTCCACCTCGGCCAGTTGTTCTAGGAACATGAACATTTAAATAATTAACAGGAGTGGATTCATTTATACCAACAAAATCCTCCTGTTGTAGCCAAGTTTCTGTCAGACACAATAAATCAATATGATGATCAGTTATCAGTTCATTAACTAACAGGGATTTAGAGGAAACAGATCTGATGTTCAATAATCCACATTTAATGAGTGTGTCCACATTTTTCTAAATACTCCTTTTGTTTATTAAGTCATCTGAAATGACCTTCACACATTAGGTTCGACTAAATTCACCTTTAAAGAGTTGTTCACAGAAATGCACGTAATCTTTGTAAATAGAGTTTATTTCATCTGACAATGTTTGTTTTGTAGATTTTAATGATTTATTTATTTATTGAGAAGTAGTTTTGTTGACAGACTTCTTTGAAATATATATATTTTTTCAAATTTAAAAAAGGTAATAAAAGTCCAAGTGTTTTCTGGATGACAGCTGCTGCTGCGTTCAGTCGTCTCACACTGGGATTACAACTTCCTAAACCCTTCAGGGAAACAAAGGTTTCCTGAGCTGAGAGCAGCAGAACGTGGACGTGTTGAGAAATGGAGCTGTCTCTAAGAGGATGTAGAAAAGGGAAGAGCCAACTAAAGCTCCGAGTGTCGATGTGTCTCAATGTCAGGGTGGGCTCCTCCGTCAGCATCGAAGAACTTGTTCACAGCTTCAGGTTCTCCACGAGCCTCCCTTTACTGACGCGTTGTAGATTATCTACATGTAAAGTTTACAGAATACAGAGTGGAACTAAACTATTTGTTCACCTTTACAAGTCATTGCGGTCCTTAATGAACTTGTTTGTACGACTGTAATCTTTAGACACGTTAAAAGGTTGTAGTAATATCTAACTGGTGCGTATACTTTGGAATAAAAGTATTCATTGTAACCCACACATCCAATAGAGCTCTGAATGGAACGTGGAAGTTGAAGTACTTGGAGACTTGATTCATCGTGTTGAAGGACTGCGGTGTAACTTTAGATGTACGAGTCATCAGATACATCTGGTTTTATTGCTTTATTGAAGTTTTCTTGCCTCGCCCGGCCTCAAAGACACGGCTCAGGATCTCACACTCACTGTTCACACATTCCTGTAGAAAAACACAACCCGTCAAAAACTTCACCCACAATGCAACTCTTCTTCACACTGTAACTGATCCACTCGGCCTCCTGTACTTTTATCTTCCAGTCTGTCAGCGTGACATTTGCCTGCCGTCTACAGACGTCACTGCTCGTCATTTCCAGCGACCAGCCTTATCTGACCCTTGACCTTTCCCATAATGCCCCGGGTCAGCACAGAGGCGTTTGCCCCGTACCTCTCCTCGCTGTCCGTGTCTTCATAGCAGCTTGATGTTGCGGGGGAATGAGCCAGGCCGTTGGCTGAGTCAGCTGAGTCTCTGTGGGCCGTCACCGAGGCAGGACGGGACGTCTCACGTTGAAAAAGAGACTTTTGTCTTTTCATGTCCAACCGGGCAGCGTCCTCAGCGTCATCCCCACCCGAGTCCCTGCTCTTGTCCTCAGCCTGGTCGTTCAGCAGAGTAACGAGGAAGTCGATGTACCTCACAGCCAGACGCAGGATTTCATTTTTGCTGAGCTTCTTGTCAGGCGGGTGTGTCGGGATCAGTTTCCTGAGCTCAGAAAAAGCCCCGTTGACGTTCTGCTGCCGCCAGCGCTCACGGCTGTTGGTGAAGACCCGACGGGCGAGTTTCTGAGGAGGACCTGCTGGAAACACAGGCGCTGCGTAAATGAACAAAACTTTATCAAACAAGAAGACAAATGCTTTTCATGTTGGTGTAAAAGGAAAAACGAGACTAAACGAGTCAAAACTTGCAAATGGTCAATTACTGGACAAAATCAGAACTGAGACTCCAAAAGCAAAATTTATTTTTTAAACTCGTTTACTGTTTAAGCAGAAAAAAATAAAAATGACTTTTAAATAGAAAAAGGCAAAGTTTTAAATAGAGTGAAGGTTGTCCTAAACCAAACAATAAAAATAAAGAAACAGATTACAGTCATGGGAATAAAGTCCACCCTTATTGATTTTAGGATTTGCTTTGTATCAATAATAAGAAGATCTGATGATCAATCATCAAGTGGACAAAACCACTCCACAGAATCCCCCGAGACATTTACAGAACAAACATGAAGACAAACTGTCAAACGCTGTGTGGAGAAACTACGTCCACCTCATGATTCAGCAGCTTGAAGAACCTCCTTCACTTTGAAGTGGTTCTTTTCTGTGTGACGTCATCGTCTTTAACAAGGTTGAGCACAAGTTCTGGCCCACTCCTCTTTACAGTGTCGCTTCAGTTAACTGAGGTTGGCAGGGATTTACTTCTGTGCAGCTCTGAAGGTCCCACCACAGCATTTCAGTCAGGATGTGATCTGGACTTTGAATGGATCTTTTTTTTTGTTTAAAGACTTTTGAGTTGTAGATTTATCGTGTTTGGGACTTTTGTTCTGTTGCATCATGACCCGGTTTGGTCACGAGCTTCAGATGTCAGACAGATGTCCAGAATCTGTTGCTCTACAGAGGAGTTCATGGAAGACTCATTGACTTCAAGGAGCTCAAGTCCCGTGACTCTAAAACAACCCAAACCATGTCCTGACACAATAATCCACCAAACCATGTCTTGACTCAATAATCCACCAAACCATGTCTTGACTCAATAATCCACCAAACCATGTCCTGAAACAATAATCCACCAAACCATATCTTGACTCAATAATCCACCAAACCATGTCTTGACTCAATAATCCACCAAACCATGTCTTGACTCAATAATCCACCAAACCATGTCCTGACTCAATAATCCACCAAACCATGTCCTGACTCAATAATCCACCAAACCATGTCCTGACTCAATAATCCACCAAACCATGTCCTGACTCAATAATCCACCAAACCATGTCCTGACACAATAGTCCACCAAACCATGTCCTGACTCAATAATCCACCAAACCATGTCCTGACTCAATAATCCACCAAACCGTGTCCTCACACAATAATCCACCAAACCATGTCCTGACTCAGTAATCCACCAAACCATGTCCTGACACAATAATCCACCAAACCATGTCCTGACTCAATAATCCACCACACCGTGTCCTGACACAATAATCCACCAAACCATGTCCTGACTCAATAATCCACCAACCCATGTCCTGACTCAATAATCCACCAA